CAGAGTTTGATCTTAGAAAAAACATGAGCAGCTCCACTAGTTCCAAATGACCAACTCATGAACATACTGGAGGATAGGATTCATCTGGAGTGGGGACTGATGTGGTTAAGATCCTCCATGCTTTATTTTCCAAAAATATCAGGTAGCCAATTGAGTGATTCATGCAGCAACGTGCCTTCAGTTCTTTTTTATCTCTTGTTATTTTATTCTTACTTATTACAACTATAATTAGAATTAGTTCAATTGGAAGGGCCCTCCAAAGATCATTGAGTCCCACCGTTTGGACACTTCATGGCCCACCAGAATGAGAGCATTATCCAAATGCCTCATGAACACTGACGGATGTGGGGCATCAACCACCTCGATAAGAAACCTGTTTCAGTGTTTGTTTGACCACCCTCACAGTAAAGAAACTTTTCCTAATATGAACTTTTCCTAATATGGTACTTATTTGTGTCATTCCCTTGTGTTCTAAATTGTATATATTGATTTGAAAAAATAATACATGAAAAATGTCTTTCAGCTCCAAATTTTAATATCAATTAAAAAAAAACAAACTTGGAAAGTACCTTTTTGAAGCTGAAGAAGCAGAAGAACAACTCAAACCTGAATATCAAAGCCAAGCAGAAATGAGAAACCAGACCCTTGGCCCATGAGTCCCTGTTACGTCCCACAGAAGACACATGTTGCTCATGTTTTCTCATTGCCATGTTCCAAAGAGCTCCAAGCTGGAGTAGATGGATATCTTATTTTGAAAGCTCTATTTTCTTTTGAATTTGCAGGTTGGTCACAGTAAATGTTGCCCCCAGGCACCTTCTTACTCAGAAAGAAGCATGGGTTAAACTGCAGCACAGATAATTGTCTCAGATCACAGTCATCATTGATCAAGAAACTGTTTTTTATCTCTAAACTGCAACAGGTTCAAAGGAACTTGGGCTGAATGGGACTTATTTCAGAACTCTTGTTTTCTGTAGCCAGCAAAGGCTTATCTTGGATTTTTAGTTAAAACTGCATGTTCTGAGAAATGAGAGAGCCTTCTTTCATTAGTTTCTGCTTTCTAATGTTTTTAAAATCCAGCAGTCATTGCATAAACAGTATACAGGCAAATTAAAATCTATACTTTCTCTTTTGTTAAACAAGAGAAAGAAGAGAAAGATCATACTTTTTTTTTTTTTTTTTTTTTTTTAATTATTTGTTGATTGGTTACTTCTGAAATTTCAATTTGTTTTCACCTTGCAATTCTGCTAATTGCCAGTAACTGTTAGGGTAAAATACCCGGAAATACTGCCAATCTTCACTGGCAGCTTCCAGTTAATGACATCTGCTTACAGTGCATGGTTATTTTTTACAGAAATTAGGATATTCAGAGATTTACAGGGAATCACATGTTCCCCATGTTCTCTCCCTAGAAAGACCTCATCAAAAACAAAGTAAAAGTAACAGGACAACGTGAAACTTGTAGGAACAAACACATCCCATCAAGCTCGAGGAGAAATTCACTGAGAGTGTCCCTTTTGGCAATTTCCATTTGACTGCAAGTGCTTTTCTATAAGGATGCAGATAGAGAACTCATCATGATGCCCTAAAAACCTTCACAAAGAAAGAGTTTTAACCATGGATGACACGCACTACTAAGTATTCTTGTAAATGTAATACAACAGCTAGATTAATGATTTGAGTTTCAGTGACTTCAGCTATAATGTGACACTCACTGTTGTCATGTGAGGCAATGCCACCCCACACCACTGCAGCTCCAAAGCCTCCCACACTGCTTGTGGCAGGATGGCAGGGACTTGGGGGAGCTCTGCCTAGCAGAACCACACGTGTTGGGAATGTGTTTCCTAGGAGAAGCATAAAAATATTCCTCAAGGTGGGATGTCAGTTATAGGCTATAGTTATTTAACTTGAGCCATCAAAGCCTCCATCACAGCCACAGAAACTGTGAAGATGCTCATGGAGCCTCTGAGGCCAAAGTTGTTGGGATCCACATCAAACTAAAAGTGAAAATCTAAACTTTATAGCTGCCAGGCATTCAGCTGGGCACATGACACTGAATATTTCACAGAAACCACTGAAGCTGACAGAATTTTGACAAACCATGTAGCTTGCCTAGCAATAGATAGCAAGGAGTAAGGTCAAATTTAGGTGGCCCATCTGGAGAAGAAATGAGAGCCAAGGCACCCTTTAATCTTGGAACAAAGTCTAAAGGAAAGCATGATAAACTGTACTGGGGGCTATGGAAGTTAATCTTTTGTCTAGGAACAGGCCAGGAGTCTGGCCAGATGAATTTATCCATACATTTATTTGTTTAGATTTCTTAACACTGTGAGATCCTCTGACTCTGTACTAGGTAGAATGACTTGCTCCTGGATGTACCACTCAAACAGAGTTCTTTACTTATGCACTTTATCTTCTTTTGCTGGTATAACTCACTCAAACGATTCCTTCTTATCTTTGACCTGAAGATGCTCCCAGTGAGATGACTTTGAAGGCTATGCTGTTCCTATCAGCATTTGGCACAACATGACATTATTTTTCTGATCTCTTCTGTCCATTTTGATTCTTTCAGAGCTGCCTTGCAGTTGCTACATGAAAATTTGTGTGTGTATGTTTAGGGTATGTCTGCATAGCATTGTTTGGTGCTACGTGGGAATACATAAGGTGGCAATAAATGGCTCTGAAACCAAAAACACTGGAACTATAGCAGAACCTTTGATCAAATTAATATACTAATGTGAGAAGCAAGGTACAAGACACAATACAATGAAGATCCGTATTCTGATATTGATGTAAGTTATATTTTGGATATTACTCTCCAACTCCGTTAGTATGCCTTCTGCCTCAGGCAGTGCATTTTGATCAAAGCATTTTAGGTTAATTCAGGCTGTAAGGACCTCAGGAGGTCTAAATATCTGCTGCTGAGCTTGTTCCAGTTTACAATATTCAGTACCAAAGAGCCCAAAACTTGGATGCCATATTCTGGATGGAGTCTAATGAGGGCTGGGTAAAGGAAGATAATCACTTGCCCTCAGTCTATTGGCTGTGCTACTGGTAATACAGTCCAAATTACTTTGCCCAAATAAATATTAGTGAAGGAAAACAAATTTCCCATAAAATTCAAAAGGCCAAAGATTTTTAGCCTGTTTTTATTGCTGCTGACAGATTGTCATTTTCAGCTTTTTTTTTTCTGTTAAATTTTTGGTACAGAATTTATCTAGAAATAATATTTTCTGTTCTGCCACTGTCTACAGTAAATGTCATCTTTAGGTTCATTGCTATTCTTTCAAAGTTTGGATTTGAGAGCTTCTTGGGATCACTGAAATCCAATGCAGTTATTATTTGAATAAATTTGTTTGTCACTTGCACAGCCAACTGCCATGTTCTGTTACTGCTGGAGGTGCTCAGCTACTCTTCAACGGTGGCTACCTACTTGCTTGAGGAGAAAGAAAGGCATACCACGATATGATGGAGGTCAGGAGGAAAAGTAGAATCTTGAACCTGAATCTGTTGTGCTCCTTAGAGTATTTCAGTCACAGAACTTTTGGTTGGTTGGGCATTTTCTCTTCCTCTCTTTCCATCTCCCCCAACCACATATCTTATCTGTGAAATAATTTTCTGAAAAATTCATGACTAGCTTAGCTGATTAATATGTATCACAGTGCCCCTTATGGATTTTTTTTCTATCTGGTCTTCTGAAAAGAACTTCCAAAGGGCTATTATATTCGATAAAGTTAAAACTCAGAGTCCCAAGTGGCTAATTATCCATGTTTTGTTACAATATTCATTCTAGCAATCATGGAATTTTGAAATTCAGCTGAGGTAATCCAAAAAGGAACTCTTTAAATAACTGCATGGTCATGAAATACTGCAAAGAAGTTTTCTGAGGTCATTTGCTATTGTAAGATAGGGCTTTCCATATCTTCTATGCTGTCTTGTGTGCTTTTCTCTTCTGGATGTAGAAGACTGCAATGTAGCCCCAGCGTTATTTATTTCCTCAGAAATCAGTTTGGGCTGAAGAACAGATTCTTCTAAACACGTTTGGAATGCGGGGAAAGGACTGAGTTAGGCTGTAACATGCAAAATGACGAATGGCCTCGCTTGCCTGATTTTTCAGAAGTGGCCAACAGTCAAAGTTTCAGATGGATTTAGTGGAAGATGGGTATCTCTTTCAAAATAAAGCTTTTTCTGACCCTGCTTCCAAGGGACTCTATTCAGCCAGTTAAGCTTCAGGTGCTATTTGAAACACTCAAGGGTGCCTCTGTGCCTGTAGTTGCCACTAGATATAGCTGTAGGTGCTCTGCTCCAACTGCCTGTGCTCTCCCTTGGTGTACCTGGTGCATCTCAAATGGCACCAGATGCCGTGTCAAACAATGAAGTTGAACCCCAGCAAACTTAAGTTTTCCAGATGGAAAGTGAGCTATAATCCTTCAGATTTGATTCTGGATTTATCAACTCCTGTACTCAGTGGTAACTTCTGTGCTTTTTATGGTCCAAGCAATAAAAAAAACCAATCTCCCTGTGCCTTTATCTGACAAGTCTTCAAATATTCCAGTTTCTTCTGCAGTGCCCTAACTGGACAGGTGCAGTCATGACCTCAGCTTTTATTTCAAATTCCTGAAATCACCTTGATTAAAAATAAATACATAAATGAATAAATAAATAAATACATTTGCATGTGAATTATATCCCTAGTGGTTATCTGTTGAGTGTCTCTTTGGGATAAAAGAACAGAAAAAAATCTTCTTTGTGGGTGAATTTTGCTGTACTCAGACATTCAAATGCATGTATAAAGCAGTGCTCAGAGGCGAGAACAACCTTTGGGTTTATCCAATACACAGCAGACAAATAGCGTCTCTGGAAACAACCTTGAGGGTCCCTTCAGCTTTAATTAGTGCAGCAATTAATTAGCAGGTGTCAGCTTTTAATTACTTTTTTTTTTTTTTTCTTTTAAAACTCGGGGCAAAACTGGAAAAACAAAGCTGCAAACCTGATTTACTTACTGATTGTGGACCCTGACTCGGGCCTGTTCAGGGAGCTGATGATAACAAAGCCGAACCCTTCGTTCTCCTTGCGGTGGATCACCACGTCGCTGGTTTGCAGGCTGTGGGACGTGAAGCCCTCCGGGGGAGTCGCGTTGCTGCTGGAGACAGCGTGATTGCTGTTAGCATAAGTCGCGTAGTCACTTCTTGGAGAGCTGTGGTGCGTGGACACAGAGCCTGGGCTTCTGCCATTCTCTGGGCATGGCTCTCCTAAAATATAAGTCATGCCAGTTTTACAGTCTGACTTGCTCAGTGGATCTCAATTTACAGTACATTTGCTAATGCAACATGAACACAGTTGGCTGTCTGTGGCCCAGACTGCTGCGAGTCTTAAGCTGGGAGCTGTAATAGATGCAGAGAGACAGGAATCTGCACGATTATGCAGAGAATTCAAGGGCAATCAGATAAAGTAAGCATGAATACTCAGTGCTAAGCTGTCTAACAGAAGGGAGGGGGAAGTAAAAACAGTGGCTATCTGGATGGCTAAATGTTAGCAAGCACCATTCCCTTGTCTGCTGGTGGATCTGTCATCAAGAGGAAAATGTGACCGTCTAATCCAATATAAAATTATTTGTGTTTGGATTAAAATAATTTAAACAAGCAGCTAACATAGAGTAATTAGGATTAGCTGCATAATGTTCTTCTTACAAGTTGATTAGCATGCTCACAAGGCATTTATGGAACAGAGCAGTTATACAATGACAAATAATCACAGTCTTTCTGTGGGTGTTGTCACAGAAGCAGTGCTCATTTAAAGGTTTGGAAGATGCTCTCGTGTGATGAGTTGGAAAGGGCAGAAGGAATAGTAGTGTCCTCTACTGTTGTTTTAAAGTAGCAAAACCAGAGAACAAGTTTGACCTTTAGGGATGAAACAGTTTTTTAGTACAAGCATTTTAGCAATTAGAAACAGTAAGGTAAAAGATGAAAAAAACAAAAGGAGTAATTTTCCTTGCAGAACTAAGTTGTTTACACAGATCATTACATATTGAGATTTAATGCACAACTTTCAGTTAATTGTAAGTAATACGTCTTCTCAACGATGATGGGCTCTGAACGTGCAGAGCTTATGCATGCATACATGCATCCTAGGAAGAAAATTCACAAATTAGACCTTCAGTGCGTATGTATTAATAAAATAAACATCATCCAAGGCCAGGCTGCTGTTTTCTCAGTCAAGTGTGTCCTTTAGTAGTCCTTGTGTAACTATGGAATAAAGTGATTAGAGAGAATAAGGAGGAAGAAAAACAAACAATTATTGTACTCCTGTGTTAGAATTGAAAATCTCCAAGAGTTATTGAACCAAATCTGCAACTAAATGCCATAGTTGGTGACAAGAGAGATCTCATTTTCTGGCTGTCATGTTTCAGAAAACTGAATGCTGTTTGTATCAGTATGGCTGCAACAGAAAGGAAATTATCTTACCCTGCAGACTGACCAAGAGCTGGCTTGGACATAAATAAATGCAACTGAAGGCCATTAAGCAAGCATAGGAAAACAAAGATAAAGGAAAAAAAGTTCAAACAGCTACCTGATTGTTAACTCGACAAAAGATATTCATCAGAAAAATTACATTTTGCTTCTGCCTGTGAAGAAATGGCCTTTCAATCTGTGGTTTCCTAATCAAATTGTGCTCATGGTTGGTGAGAGTCTGTTCCCAGCCTGGGAGAGGTCTGTGTGAGGCGGTGGACCTCAGGCTGGATAAAACATGGACATCAGCTGTCAGCCATCAGGTGAGGGCAGGGTGGCCCCAGTGTTCTCCACTCCATACAGCCACCTTGGATGCAATGTGGCTAAGGTGCTCATACTTCATTTTTCGATTATGCCTGCATCAGTCATTTTTAAAGTCTCCCACTAAGCTTATGTTGTAAGACAAAAGATTAAAACTCTGTTCATCTATAGAAATGCTTAAATATTAACGAGTTATACACAAAGCTCCCCAGCATGGCGCTCTCGGGGACCCAGGATAACTCCAAGTGTCTCACTGGCTTTCACCATTCTGCGTGCCAGGAGACTGGACTGTCTCAGACCCTGAACTTTAACACATACCCCTCTCTACCCCTACATAGAATAGCAGAATCACAGAATTGTAGGGGTTGGAAGGGACCTTTAGAGATCACCTAGCCCAAACCCCTGCTAAAGCAGGTTCCCTCCAGTAGGTCACACAGGAAAGTGTCCGGATGGGTCTTGAATATCACCAGGCAGATCTGGGTAAGGAGCTGGCTCGCAAGCACCCGGCGCATTACCTTGGTTATTGGCCATTTTCCTAGTGCTTGGGGAGCTGCAGGGGGGCGTCGCGGCGGGCGGAGGGGGCCCTTTCTGGCTGCAGGCCTCTGCAGTTGGCAACAGAAGAAAGTCAGTCTTGTGGCAGAAAAATGGGGCCACAACGGGGGGCTGCGGGATGACGGGTGCGTTGAGGTTGGCTTTGGGGCAGGGGAATGGAGGGGAGCAGCTCAGGCAGCGACAGCAGTCCAAGGCATAGGAGGTGGGCGACAGGACAGGTTGGAGATGTGCTCATTTCTGGTGCCTCAGCAAATTGCACTAACCTCGTCCATGTTAGAAACAACACACTTCTTTCTTGGATAAGGAACAGTAGCAGTCCACTTCGACAGGTGCTGCTGCACATTTTTCCAAATTTGTATGTTCTTCAGCCTATTCTAAACGTTTTATACTTCAGATCATTCATATTGTTTTAGCTCTACTCCCTGGAAGTGTCTGCTTGAAGGGAGGAAGCGACCCTGCTTCCTAGCAGCCATTTCCTCCCTATAGAACAATATCAGCCAGCTGACCTTGTATTTGGGGCAAAAATCTCCAAATGGCATCAGTGAGACCAGAAATGGGCTTTAACACACACAAGAGTGAAATGAGTCCTTGTACTAGACAGTTAACAGTCTCTGAGAATTTCTCTGGTTGCTTATACACACAGTCAGCGTTAACAGCTTTAATTCAAAGTGAATATTTTGTCCCAAAAGCAGACAAGAGGAGACAGCACAGACCAGGACAGCACAGAACAAACCCAGAGCAATCATGGCACACTGGGGCTGCCAGCAGGACACCCACTTCTGCAGGAAGCAACACTCAGCATTAGTGTTTTCATCACAGAAACAAGGGACACATATTTACAACTATCTGTTCTTCAAATGACGGAAAACATTCACTTCTATCTGTCAGCACCTGCTCATGCTGATAGCAGTGAGCCGTTTTTCCCAGTCTTCTTTACTCACCCGTGGGTAGCACCTTTCTCCGCACAGTAAGATTCACCTGCCCGTTTCGGGCAGCATTATGCATAAGATCAATCACGTATCGGTGGGTTTTGCCGGCCACTGGAATCCCATCCACATACACCAGTTCATCACCAGGATGGAGGCGACCGTCCCTGTCTGCTGAGCCCATTGCAATTACTGCTCCGATGAGGATCTAGGCAGCAAAGGAACAAAGCCCTGATATATATGCAGAGCACACAGACATTTCCCCCTTGAACATTACAGACATTTTCCCTTTCTGTTAAGATACAGTTTGTGACTCAGCAAGATCTGTGTGTTTCTGAAAGCCATGTTCCTGCACTGTAGGTGTGACTGAAGACGTTTTCTTGCTTTTGGTGAGAAAGCAAAATCCCGATCTAAGGATTATTAACCTGCTATCTTCAAATCAAGACAATTTATCTGTAAGGGATGGCGAGTTCATATAGCCTACATTTTGCAGAATATCTAAACAGATTAATTCAAATTCCTGTTGATTCAAATTTAGTTAGTCTGCATATTTCTTACTTGAAGCTACTTACTGCTGCACTGTGTAAGCAACTGGAGTAATGTGGCATGGTTTAGTGGACATGGTGATGGAATGATGTCTGGACTAGATGATCTTAGTGTTTTTTTCCAACCTTGATGATTCTATCATTCTATCATTCTGTAATGCAGTTGAGGTCAGTTGTGGAAATGTCCCCTTCACATAGAGTTTGCTTTGGGACTCGTTAGGGGAAAAAAAAGTGCTGTATTAAATATCACTACTCAGTGATATTTAATTGCTCAGGTAGTAACTGATTAGCAAAATGAAAAAATGTCAGCTTACTCTGTGCAGATGTTGTTTTCCCAAATCGATATTAAAAAGTAATTTGTATGGGACATATAAGCTAGTAAAAAATCTGTTCAGAACCTTTTAATGACTTTCTCCACTTTCTATGCACATAAATCCACATAATTTATTAGAGGAAGACATATATATTTTCCCTGTGGAATAACTGATAGAACAGTCAGGACTGATTCTAACAGATCTTGCTTTCTTTGAAAGAATATTAAAGCATTCACAGAGCAAGTTCCAAATTTTCTTTTCTCCTCTTCAGTGCTAGAGTGAGCCCAGAATGATGGATGTGACATGCTGTGTGACAATCCACTTTAAATAATAAAAGATAAAAGCCATCTCGTATTGCTCTTCATGAAGAGCTGAAAAGGCTGATGTCGTAGTCGCACAGGTGGTCTTGTTTTTTGCGGTCTCAGCTACAGAGTTGGAAGCACCCCAACAGAGTGTTTAAATGAAACTCCCCGTGTGGAGCCTGCAGAATTTTCCCCATTTTCTGTCCTGTCTTTGGCTCACTTTTGCTTAGAAAATGTAGCAAGGACAGAACAAGATCGGGCATTTTCCTGCTTCCTGATGTTATAAGCAATACCAGGCTGAGTTCCCAGAGATATTCTTTCAGGTTCTCCATTCTCTTCTTCAAACACTGAAAGAATATACCTCAAAGCTTTGGAAAACACTTTGTGAAAAATCCAGCTATGAAATATGCAGTTATTCTTCACTGAAGAAGAAATGATCTGTGCAAAGCCAAATTTAGCTGGATCTCCACAAAGTACCTCAAAACCTTCGCATTTGTCTATCTTGTCAAAACTTTTCTTAATTATCTTGGGAAGCTTCTTTAGCTTGTAGGATTGTAGGGATTATCTTCCTTCTTTTGCATTACTGGATATTTGCAGTTTCTTTATAATTGATTCTAGGCTGCCAAAATATTGAACAATTTGTGCATCTTTAAACTTTGAAGGAGCATAAAGGCAGCTCACAGCATCAGTACCTACTGCAAAATGCAAAAACTCTTCCACTTATGAGAAATCAAGTAATTACTTCTTATCTTTTCAATGTCTACATTGGAATGTGATTGTGTGACTGATCTGCACAAACGGACACTGCTGGACAAAAGCAGCAGGGCTACTTTGAACACTGCAGGTAGCTTGTTTGCCAAGACGACGGCCACCGTATCTGTTACTGGGCATATTTAGAAGCAAGTATGACTTCATTCTCCTTTTTCATTTTCCATGTTTGAATTTGCTTCTTATCCACTATGTGCTCTCATTTCATGGCTAAGTAGTTTCCATAATAGCTATAAATTCTACAAGCAAAACACAAATTAAACAAAATATTTATCAGGATTATATTACCAGGTATGAGATTACTTTGAATGCATAAGGAAAAGGATGATGACATTTTTGGCAATAAAGAATTGTGTTGTGGAGAAAAAGGTAATTTTCACCCACTGTTTGAGATTAAGCATGCAAAATGGTGGGATTAGGAAGATTGTGACACAGCATAATCTGAATATGAAGCTTGGGTTTTATAACTCATCCATGTTAATGTCTGTTTTGGTACTGAGTTTCTTTGTGATACTTGCTAATTATTTGACTTTATGTTTCAGTTTCTCTCAATATAAATAGAATAGATTCACAGACACACAATAAAATTTATGAAATAGACATCTAAAGTGTGATAAATCTCATCTAATTTTAAATGTCTGTGATGTCTACATCCAAGATAATCTTCTGAACTGTAACCAATGCTAAAAATAGGAGCTCCTAATGTGTGGTCTGAATTACCCTAACATTCTGCTCTGTAGACTTCTGCTGTGTCTTAGAAATGTCTCTTGGCACTGAGCATAAAATACTGCAGGTTGCTCTGAAAGTAATGCCTCCTATTTATTTCCATGGAAACTACAACAGAGGCAGTGAGCACAGTGACGCTGTTTGATAGTGCAAATTCTCACCTACAAAAAACTATTTTTCAACACAGTCACCGCCATTAGCTGTGTGTTTTTGCCAGTGATGAACAAGTGCATTTTGCACTCATGAAAATCTACACCAGCAAAGATGCCCCACCGTTGCTGTCTCCACTATTGAAATGCAGAACAAACCACCTCACTGTTCTCACATCCACCATAAACATTCAGCAAGAGTCAATGTCAGTGATTTTATCTGCACAGAGGAATTCAATGACACATCTTTGCTTCATACACACTGCCACGCTTGATGCCATTTTGTCAGACTGCCCTGCACTGCCATCAGTCACACAGCATCAAAATGTAAGAGAATATTGGTGGGAAGGTTCAATCTCTACTGCAATACCTCCATCTACCTCTGACATCGTGGACAGGATAATAAAATAGGAGGCATTACTTTCGGAGCAGCTCACTTACATCTTGCAGGCATTTATGAAATGAATCCCAGCCAGGTCGTGTTGAAAAGGAGAAATTTCTTACTGAAATTATGTGCATGATTTTGAGTTCGAGCTGTTTGAATGTATTCAAAACACTTCCCCACTCTGGGATGGCAATTTGTAGCTCCAGCAGTATTATACCCTTTAATAGAGTCATTATCTATAATTTGCCAGGCCACAGGGAGATGTAATAAATACCTTTGGTGGCTTGATCTCATGAGATTCAAGAGGTGACTGGAACTGCACAAGCCACAGTCATGATGCTTGAGATACCTTCATAAACGTAAGTCTTTCTTTTGGAAAGCATCTTTGTGCTTACAAATATTTAAAGTGGACTATTCCAGCAGCATTTCCTCCTTCCGAGGTGCTGAGCAACTAGTGGAACTAGAAGCAAACTATGTTACAGTTTCTCTACAGTGCCAGTACTATTGTTTTGAAAAATTTTATGTGGATTCTGCTTCTTTGAGAAACTTAATGCCTTATGCTGAAAAATCCATACTCCTTTTGAGGCACCAAACCACAAAGACAAAAGGCAAGGAAAGTTTCTTTTTGTTCTGTGTTACCTGACTGCACAGCAGGAGAGCTGAAACAAGCATTTCAAAGAGTCTCAGTTCTCGTTTTATAGGAAATGCAAGGTTTGGAGCACAGGCAGAAGCTGCTGCTCCTTTTCTGGAGGAGAAAGGAATAGGAGGCTGTGGGTGGGCTGTCTGTGGGGGAGCAAAGAAGTAGTGGAGGTGAGAAAACAGAGTTAAGAGCTCTTGTATTTGGAGTACAAATGAGATAGAAACTTTTTTTTAAGTGGAGCATCCCTGCCTTCTTTACTAGGGATGAATGTGGGCAGCGAAATGGGTGGATGGGCACAAAGGGAGTGAGAGCTGAGATGTTTGGCACTGCACCACCTAACTCTAAGGTTCCTTTCTGCCTCGTAGGCTCCTCAGCCTCAGGCTAGGTTCTCCTCATTCCTGGGAGCTTTGAGAAATGGTTTGTGGGGAGGCATAAATCCTGTCAGAATGACACATCTGGGGGTAAATGCTTTTGTGTTTGCAAACCCTGAAATAGAGGCAGCTGCTTTGAGGCTAAGTGCAGGCTGAGAGCAATTGTTGGTTGGACAGAGAAGCATCTTAGGAGGTGGTACACAGAAGGCAGCATTTCACTCCTGCTCTTCAAAAATAGCAAGTGCTTATCTCTGCACATGGTTTCCAGCTATGAGCATTTGTTTGACTTCAGACAATAAAGCCAGGACAGTCCTTTGCTGAAAAGAGATTTGAAAGAACTGCTTCCTCTGTGACAGTTCACTGCATAATGCCTATGGCTGGGGGGCAAAGGACTCCTTTCAGAATTCCCACTCTGCTGGGTTTTTGAGCTGAGACATAAATTCATGTCTCTCACAACTCATGCAAGTATTCCTAACTGTTAGAGTACTAGATATTCTAAATCAGTGCTCACTCCCTCCTTTAGGTGGAAATCATTTCATTTTATATAAATGATCATCTTCTGGATGAGGCATTTCAGCTGCACTTTTCCCCTTGAGAATGTCATAAACCTCCAAACTGCAGAGCCAAACACACTCTCAGTGACTACTTAATTATCCATTTGTAATGAAAAAAAGAATTGAAGGAGAAATCAAGAGAGACTTCCAAAGAATGCCTGAGCAGCTCTATAGCCAGGGGCACTGTCCCGAGAGGTGGGAATTGCCATCAGGTGCCACTGTCCTAAGCAGGTAGAGATTTCCAAATCTTCCACAGGTGCCAATTTTCTGCAGGATAAAACAGACCGTTTCCTCTACTTCCTAAGAGACTTCCTTTTTAGCTGCTTTCAGTGGGCAAACTTAAAGAATGCACACTGACTGGGCCATACAGAGAGGACAGGGAAGATGCTTAGGAGATTGTGAGGCCAGTGGCTTCATGGCCTTGTTTGGTGCACTGGGACAAACCATAGTGGAGCGATGCCAGAGTGGCTTCAGGCACACTTGCAAGTGTTGGTAATGAAAGTGTTATTTTGATACTGAAGTCCTTCTGTATAAACACACCTTGGTTAGCTTTGAAAATCCATTCCAAATTTCAAATAGAGTCTTTGTGTTTCAATCTGCGCTTTGTGAAATATCTTTTCCAGAATACAGTGCACTTGTTTCGTTTTACAGGAGGCATCAGTAAACTATATTTGATACTTTGATATATTTGGTACTTTGATAGATGTTGACAACTTCAGCACAGAGGATTTTCTGTGTTTCCTAGGACCATGTATTTGTTAATATTAACACCTGAATGACAATGGTATCTCTCTGTAAGAATCCGAATACAGAATATATAAGCCTATCAATTAGCTATACATTTTTTTGGAAATGGTTCACAGTGGTAACACTCAGAACTCAGACTACACATAAGGTTGTGATAATAAAATGTCATCGGTGCAGACCTGGGATTAGTTCTCACTAACAAACTACTTACATCATTATGATGTTATATCATCAAAGTTATTCTGAGGAAGTACCAATTCTGCCTTCCCTCCTCAAATCATTTTATTTACATACACATCTCACTGTTTTACCAAAATACATACTCATTTATTTTTAAAATTGTATATATTTTATACCTGTTTTCACCTGTGATAAATCTAAGTGGGCTTTGGCTGGTATTTTAGTTAAGGGAGAGTTTACTTCCAAACAGTATAAAGCTAACATTGTTATGCTAGATGCTTCACATGATCATATTATCTAACCTGGAGCACGGACTACAGCTCCCAGGTGGGGCCTTTTGTGTTTCTGGAAATAAATGGCATTATTAATGGTATCTTTTGAACTTATGTATATATGTATACTGCCAACATTGTACACAGTTAGGCACTGTCTTGAATAATTTGTCTTTTAAAATCTTCTCCCCTAAAATTAAAATAGTCTTAGAAAGTCAGGATGGAAAGTAAAGTGTTGAGTGGTGCATTGTGTCAAACCTGGTGATTCTAACTTAATTTACTGAGACATCTTTCAGATGCTGACAACCTGAAAGTTCTGTCTTTATCTACAGATGGAGAACCATTATGCTTTAGTGGTAACACAATGCTGAAAGAGTCACAGAATCATAGAATGGCCCAGGTTGAAAAGGACTACAGTGATCATCTAGTTTCAACCCCCCTGCTATGTGCACGGTCGCCAACCAGCAGACCAGGCTGCCCAGAGCCACATCCAGCCTGGCCTTGAATGCCTCCAGGGATGGGGCATCCACAGCCTCCTTGGGCAACCTGTTCCAGTGCTTCATCACCCTCTGAGTGAAAAACTTCCTCCTAATATCTAACCTAAACCTCCCTTGTCTCAGTTTAAAACCATTCCCCCTTGTCCTACCTCTATTCACCCATTTAAACAGTCGTACTCCCTCCTGTTTATATGCTCCCTTCAAGTACTGGAAGGCCACAATGAGGTCTCCTTGGAGCCTTCTCTTCTTCAAGCTAAACAAGCCCAGTTCCCTCAACCTTTCTTCACAGGAGAGGTGCTCCAGCCCTCTGATCGCCTGGGTTCAGTTTGTATTATTACTATGCATTATTATTTTTTTTTTTTTGACTTCTACACAGAAATTAGACACAAAACAAGGAAAGTCAGGAAGAAATAACTCACAGGCTGTCCAGGCTCATCTCCTCCAAGGATCCTGAAGCCAAAACCGGACTCCATTCTCCGAAGGTGAACATCCAACTCCTTGTAATCAGGACCTGGTTTAAAGGGAAATGCCACTGAGCAAGTCATTTCTTTTTCCCCCCAGAGAATTTTCATCACCTTCCCTCCCCTTTTGTGTTCATTGCACATGACTAATGGCAGCCTGGTTAGAGCTGGTGGAAACAAATGGGACACAATGCATTGTACACAGACAAGGAAGAGACACTTGAAAATGTAGGTGCCCTACAGAATGATTATGTTCAATAAAATACACTAAACCCAAGCTACAACACATTCACATGTGAACAGTACTGAAAAAGTCTTTCCAAAATAGAGGTTATAAAGGTGCCTTCCTCCTAAGACTGCATAATATTTTTCTGTCCAGCCACCTCTGGCATTTAATCTGTATTTTCCTTGCAGTTTGTTAAAACCTAAAGAAAATAAACTGAAATGGGAGATAAAGATACACAGAAAAATTATCAGTCCAACTTACAAAGATGAATAATCATTACATGCCATTTTAGTTCCACACACACAGAAACCAATGTTTCTTTTAATATAATGTAGCTTTTAACTACACCACTTTCAGGTATTACCTCCAATAAAGAATTTTCATGAAAGCTATCACTGTGAGCCTCTAAGTCGTAAGGTTTAAACTGAAAACTAACATCATTTACTTGAATTCCGTAATGCTACTCAATTAAGGTCTCAGGAGCTTTACAAATCATTAAAAATTGCACTTCCATATGCCTGCATAACATGCCTGTAAACATATGTTCTGCACTGGAATGTTTCAGTTCAGGAATGTACAGTTTTCTAAAAATTGGTTTCATTTAAAGGTATCCTTAGTTTCATTTGAAAAAGCTAACTGTTTTGGGTCTTGATGCCCTCAAAATACAAAAGAGAAATTTTAAAGAAAATTTCAAATAGTATAAAATGGAACCGTAAGTAGTTAAGGGATTGTGAAACTGTTTGTTTGGACTATCGCTTTGTCTGAACAATCAGAAATACTTTGAGCTCATCAGCAAAAGCAGGACAAGCTATGAGCATGAATGGTCTTTTCTACAAATTATACTCTAGTCTGTAAGTTGTGACAGCTTTTGTTGCATGTCAGCTTGTTGCCAACCCCAAAAGACAACAAGGGTTGAGTAGGTTTATTTCAGCAAACTGTTCCTAATGTCTCCAGTCGTGCCATGTTTCCTCAGGAGGGGTGGAACTACAGATGGCTGAAATACTGTGCTTCAGCCACTCTCATTTACTCATTTCCACAGAGCATCAGTGGGCATCTCACAAACTGCAGGGATGGACAGATCCCAGATCCAGGTTGGAATTAAAACTGATTTAGTTTAGTCAGATCATGCAAAGGCAGACACAGAACTGCATGCAATGTCTCTGTACTATGATCATGCCATAAAAATCCTCTCTAGAAAGCAGCATGGTACATTGTTCCAGCAATGTATATTGGTAGGAATGAGACTGAATCAGTGCCAAATGCTTCAGCTGGTAAAATGCAAGTATTACCACTCTAAAAAAACCAAACATGCTCTTCATATATTTAAAGAGAAACTCAAACAGATACTAGCAGCTTATTATTCTGACTTTCTTTCAACTTATTTGATGTTTCTCAACACTGAATAAGAGAACATATGAAGTGTGTACGTTAATTTAATGCAAAGGTTGTTCAAAAGTTGTGAGAGGTAAAGCAATTTCAAGATGAAAACAATACTCCATCCTTACCTGACTTGCTTATACAGCAAAGAACTTGGCTTATTATTAGAGATTACCTTGCAGATAGACACAGTAGGATCTAACAGTAGGTCTTAACAGTCAAAGGCACTGCTTCCAGCAGTTGGCTACAAATTAAGCCATACTTTTTTTTTGGTGCACACATGAGTGGATATGCAGAGTTGGGCAAGTATAAGAAAGTTCAGTTGTGAAAAACACATGCTCTGGCACACGGATGAAGAATTCACTCGAACACATACATTTACAACACTGATCAAAACCAATGTCAGTATCAGACTCTAAAATAAGAGGCATTAATTTTTTAAATGAGTCTATTTTTCTATTTGTCTAGAATGGACCACATAAGACAGGTTGGGCATGAAAAGATATGTGGGGATATTCTTGTTTTCTGAATTCTAACACAGTTTTGGATTAGCTAACTGTAGCCATACCCTTGCTCAGAAGAACCTTTGTTTCCAAAGAGGTGAAAGTCTATCGAACCCACTCTCTTCCAACTCCTCTCAGGAAAATGAGTTGCCTTTAGAAATAATGCTCTTTTTTGTTCCACTGAGCAATACAAATGGAGTAGAAAGAACTATCCAGCTCATCATCTAGTCCAGCTCCCTGCTATCACAATTTTTTTTTGTGAGCAAACAGCTCAGAAACCTTTTCAGTGGAGACATAAATGAAGAATGCACTGTGTATCTGAGCCTCTTCATGATCTCTGTCACTAGGTCGCCTGCCTCCTCCAGCATTTTTACAGGCCATGATTACACTTGTTTTTTCACTGAGATACCATACTATCTTGTCCACTGACTGACTAATATACTTGAGCGCATTTCCTCCGTTGCTGTTGCTGGTTGTTTCACCTTTCATGCTTGTATGACTGTTGTCATACATGATGCCATTGGCTGCACCGATGCCTCTCCATTGGTCTGGAGACAACTACTCCACAGATACCTGACATCACATGCCTAATATGGATTTGACTTCCACCATTTGTTTTTGTGCTTAGATCATTAATAAAAGTGAAACAGAAGAGTTACTGCCAGGCTTTCCACTCATCCCTTTATTTCAGAAACTACTCTTTTAGTATAACTGCTTACCCACTTTCTAGACATTCCTCTTTATATTGTGTTAAGCACTGTCTTCTACAGGCTAAAATGGAAGTGCCTCAGTTACAAGTGGCAATCAGTAAACTGTCCAGCCGAAAGCTAGATTGATTAAACGTGCCACTAGTTAGGTAGAAAAAATCAGTTATCAGGTTAGTCTGTTGCCAACAGCCATTGTTTTTTTGCGTTATGTCTCAGTCCACCACCATACTGGTAGTTAATTCTCTTTAACTGAAAATATGTTGTAAAGTCTTGCTGATCTTTTTTCTCCATTTCTTAAAGCTACATAATTCATTCAATATGACATGTTCTTACTACAGCAGCCCATGCTTTGTAGATTTACCAAAAATCTCTACTACCATAGCTAGCTAGCTATTTCAGTATTCCTAAATGTACAGTGGTCAAGTACTCCTAACTGTATAAGTGATTACATTTCCTCTGATATATCTTTAGAGCTCAGTTCTCTAGGATTCTGGCATTTTTGTCATCACAAAGGATTGTTAGATAAGCTGAATTTTGCCTTTTCTTGCTGGAACTGATTTTCAATTGATCATACTCACAAAGAAAATTACCTATACTTAAAGTAAAATGACACTTCTGGGCCTTGCAATAGACAGCAAGCCGTTGGTTAATATGACTTTGTTATGGAAAATATGCCTTTTTTTTTTTTTTTTTTTTCTTTAGTAAGCTATATTGGAACCTCATGGTTTGTGTCAGATTGGAAGAAATGAACAGGTTTGCAGGCAGAGGAGTCAAGCCGAATCTAAATTAGTATAGTCTTTTACACAGTTTACTTTTACTTCCACCCAACATTCATCTGAATATCCTATGTCCTACCAGTTTCACTGTAAAGAGACTTTTAGCTTGAAGTCGGTATTTCTGAATTTATAACACAAGTATCTTGTGCAAGAATAATGTTCCCTGCCCTCCTTTACTTTTTTGCATGTGTGCACTGGAAAAATAACTTTAGGTTTTCCTGTTAGTAAATTTATTGCCTTTTTATAATTATAGCATCTTGTTTATTTCTTTTCCCTTGTGTAAAAGAATACTCTTTAAAATAATCATTTGGCCTAGAAGAGACAAAACCAATTCTCTCTGCTACATTATAAAACCAGCTGGCTCCCCATGAATTTAAGAGTGGTATAGGAAAAGCTGCAATCTAATGATTGCTGCACAATGAGGATGATAAAGAGCACTGAGAAACTCTGCTTTTTGGTTCCTGACAGAGAATTTGCTTCAAATGTAAAGGCGCCAGAACAGATTACTTCTGAACAATAGTGAGATCTTGTAGGTGCAGATGTGATTATCAACTCCCAGGTACATTTCTGTACTGTATTCACTTAAATTCCAACATGCATTACACATTGATAAGTGTACTTCCAATTGTTTCTAAAATGTGTGTTGAGAAAATACATTTTTGGCAATGATTAATTCATTTTCTGTATGAGTCAACTTGCACAAATGCCAAATGATTTTTACAGTGATAAAGCTGGTATTTGAAGCTATGCTGTAAGTGTTGAGAAGGATTTTTTTGTTTTAATTAAAACTCATCTACACTGCAATTAAAGCAAAGACGAAGAGCTTGGCTGTAGTAATTTTATAGTCTTTCTGGATGTTTCCTCTTCATATTTATAGAGAGGAAAAGCTAGTAAATATACATATCATTATAAAAATAATTAAAGTTTATTTTAAAAAAACAGTCAAACCTATTCAACCTATAAACTCTACTGGGGTATGCAAAATCAGCCTCAAATCATTTTTAATTTAGGAGCCCTATGCAAGCTGTGTAGGGCTAGAATAGACTTCAGAGGGATTGTCAAAACAGCCTTCTTTGTACGAGATGTCGTGTTTTAACTGTTCACTTAAGATTACATCAGTAAATGAAACAGTGCTGCTTTTCAATCACATCCATTGCCACTGTACAAGACTGACATTGATTCAAACAGCAGAGAAAGCTTTTTTTGAAATATTTTGCTTTTACGTTTTTATAGAATAAGATATAAGTGCGGTAGCAAGGACTGTTTGGTCTGCATAATGAATCAGTTCTGTCCTTCAGCAAATAATAATTTAATTTCATTTTTTTGCACAAAGTAATGCTTAAGATAAATTTTGGACATGAGCTATAGAGAATTATTAAGTTAAAGGGTGAACACTAACATGCGAAAGCAGATGTAAAACACTAAAACATACACAAAGACTTGCTGAGGAAAAATAAATCC